GGGGGAGGAACAACTTCGGAGTTCAACAGAGCACGGGATGGTGTCAAATGAACCTTGGTGTATTATTAGATGTAATGTGATGAATTATGATAATTGCAGAAATGTATGAAAAAGCATATATAATTAGCCAAGTTTCCCTCTTTTGCAAAGAAACTATCCCCCACCACATTAAAGATCCAAGAAACTAAAGAAAAAAAACTTTACAAATTACTAATTTTGAGTCCATTAAAACTTTGTAATTATTGGAATTTTTGAAAAGCATATACAATTAGCACTATATATCAAGAACAAGAAACCAATCGATTTAGAGAACAAGATTTTACACTAAAGAGCAAAAATCAAGAGACCCATGCACAAGACAATGATAGTTCACCAAGAACATATACATTGAAAGAAAAGAAAACATAATTTAGCCAAATTAAATCCCAATGAAATAGAACTCAACAAAGAGAAATTGAAAGGAAGAAAGAAAACTGAAACAATCAGTAATGCCATTTCAGTAATCACTAATAAAGAAAACATAGCTATTTATAGAAATGAATGAAAACCCATTACAATTAACCCAACATCCAAAAGAATTTGGTAAAGAAACTAACCCCACCTCACCTAGACTGCCTTTTTAGTTTTTAAAGAGTTCACACTAAAAAAACAAAATTAAATATAAAGAATTCAGTACCAGTGCCCAGTAAAATTTTGCTAATTATAGGCTTATAGAAGCTTATGAAAAGGCTAGACAATTATCCCTCTTTAGCAAAGAATCTAATACCACCAAACCAAACAGCCTTGAGAGAATTTTACAGCCCAAAAAGTTGCACTAAAGTGCCATGAAACTAAAGATCCATACTTAACTACTTAAGCTGATGATAATTGAAAGTTTTTTTAATAAAAAAAGCTGAAACAAGCCATAGTATAACAACCAGTCATCCAATAAACTTTTGCTAATTATAGAAATTTATGAAAAGCCCATTATCCTTATGAAACTTACCCCACCCCACCCAGACATACTTTCTAGCATTTACAGAACAAGAATTAATACTCAAGAACCAAAAAACTGAAGACCCATACTAAAAGATAATCATATTCACCAAGAAATTGAATGAAAGAAGAAAAGGATATGAAACAATGAGTACTATAATTAGCAATCATTAATCCATTAAACTTTTTCCTAATTATAGCAATTTATGAAAAGCTAAGATAATTATCCCCCCTTTGGCAAAGAAGGAAACTAACCACACTCCAATAAGAACAGTAAATCACACTTAAGAACCCAAGAAACTGGACACTTCAATTTCCAGAACAAGAAATTGCAGTAAAAAAAGCCAAGAAATTACAGATAAAGAAACAAGATTCAATTTTTACCTGCAAGAACGGCTGATATGCAAGAGACCATCAGTGGAGAATCCAGAGCACTTGTCGAGCTTGAGAGACTGAAGAACCCTAGCGCGGGAGCTGGCCAGAATCTCCAGATCGGAATCTCCCACAATCATCCTGCGGAAGTGGAGAAACTTCAATTGCCGGAAAGAACGCGCGATTTCCTCGACCCAGGGAGTGACGTAGCCGCCCCAATCTTCCGGGATGAGGTTGAACATGGCGGCGCGTGGCTTTCCCTTGAGCTTGAGCGACTCCAGGTGGGGGAAGCGGCGCGACAGCTGGCGCGGCGTGGCGGTGTAGCAGAGCGCCATCGTCACGTGCTTGCGCGTGATGGCGTCGATGTCGTACCACCGCTTGCACACCAGAGACACCGACGCCCTGTCCCGCGGGTCCTGAATGTACGGTATCACTCGATCCCATACGGCGTCGCACGCGGCGGAAGCAGCGGAGGCGGCGGCCATTCTCTTGGCCTCGCCATCCTCCATACCCGGCGCAAAACCCGGGAAAGAAAAGGGTTCAAGATTTAGAGTGTTCCTTGGGAATAGGAGTTCGGGAAACGGAGACGGAGACAGATCGGACGGCGAGAGGGTGTCTCCGGCGGAGGAGGAGGAAGGGGAGAGAAGGAGAAGGCGGCGAGCTATGCGGTGGAGAGGAGTTGGGGGAAGTTCTCGGAGAGCTAAAATGAGGGCTATTGGATGGGGACACGTGGCGATGCGGGATTGATTAAGGTTTGGAGATTCACAGTGGCATTGTTTATAATTATAACTGCTCTGCTCCTCCGTAATTCCGTATTCAATTATTTTGAAATCAAAAATGTTGATGCTTATCATGTCCAAAGTTTTGATTTTTCATGGAAAATTTTTGCATATATCCTTCACAAATTTGATTTGTTTAAAAAATGCTCCAAAAAAAATACTTCCTCTGTTTCAAAATATTTGTCACACTTGTTTTTTCAGCAATCGTGAGAACTTTTTGTTTATGTCTATGTTTTTATTGGTTATTTGATAAAATAAAATATTCTTGACACCTCTTATTTCAAAGAACTTTTCATGTAGTTTTTTTATATGTAAATTTTATTTTTTATTTCTATACCAATATGTAAATAAAATAAATTGAAAAAGCTTTATATTTTATCTCGGGAATACAAGTGTGACAAATATTTAGGGACGTATGGAGTATATGAATGCAATTTAGTTAGAAAGAAAAAGAAAACAGTACAAGAGTCAATTACACACAATGTTAGATATTAGAATTAGTATTTTGGAAAAAAATGTTGAACGATAGCGTTTAGCTTGAATTTTTTCAAAGTTACTTGATATGATTCAAACATAATTTATATCAATAAAGTTTTATGCTAAGGAAATGAGACTTAGCATAAAACTTTATTGGTATAAATTATATTTGAATGATATCAAGTAACTTTGAAAAAATTTAAGCTAAACGCTATCGTTCAGTAATTTTTTACCATACATTTTTATTTGTTCATTAATTTTTTTATTCACACCAAAAAATGTATGGTGTAGATAATTTGGTGTATAAATTACTTCCACCGTCCCTAAATATTTGCAACATTTGTTTTTTCAGCAGTCGCGGAGACTTTTGCTTATTTCTACGTTTTTATTGATTATTTGATAAAATAAAATATTCTCGACATCTCTTATTTCGAAGAACTTTTCATGTAGTTTTTTGATAGGTAAATTTTAATTTTTATTTCTATACCAATATGTAAATAAAATGAATTGAAGAAACTTGATATTTTATCTCGGAGAATACAAGTGTTACAAATATTTAGGGTTAGAGGGATTAGAATACAATTTACTAATTTAGTGTACCCTAAACATTTTTTATTTTCCCTTACCTAAAGTCCTGGGGGCATGGTGACTATTCATTTTCCCTTACCTATGTCTATCAAATTTCATCAATTTTGATTGCTAACTATTCATATACTGTAAAAGGGCATAATATGAAAATACTCTTCATTTTTAATAATTGACATAAATTTTCAAATTTTAATTTTTTCATATTATAAAACATTACAATGCATGATTAAGTATTAAGATATTTAATAAAAATTTAAATGTAAAAGTTAAACAGTCACTTTTAATTTAGGTCAGTGCTACTGCATATTGTACGTCTAAAATCTACAATATTTCATGTGAACTTTTATATATAAGGATCGTAAACAAATTCTTATTGACAAGCATTTTTATTTGTGAAAATTACCCATAACTCCATAAGGGAAACTTATCTATATGACTCTAAAACAATGTAGCTTTTCCTAAATAGCACAGGTGCTATGTTAAAAAAATAGAGTGTCGATAAATTGACTAAAATTCCCTCAGGTATTTGAAAAATCCCAAATTTTTGTGATTGACAAAATATCATGGAAGCTCAATGAAAAGGAACTATCTAATTGGTTTGGTTTCGTTGTTTCAACAATAATTAATAATGTCACGGTCAATGTCCTTATTTTCTATAAGAAAACAATGTCCCACATAGTTCAATGTCCTTGTTTGTATTAAAAAAAACAATATGCACAATATTCAATGTTCTTATTTCTAGAAAAAATAATGTTCATGACGTTTAATGTCTTTACTTCCACAAATAAACAATGTCCATGTTTCTACAAAAAAGAAAAATGTCCACGATGGTCAATGTCCTTGTTTTTTTTAAATAATGTCCACAGTGTTCAATGACCTTATTTGTACAAAAAAACAATGTCCACAACGTTTGATCTCCTTGTTTGTACATGCAAAAAAAATGCTGGTCAATGTCCTTGTGGCTTCTAACAACAAAAAAAGTAATGCTCATGGCGTTTAATGTCCTTGTTTCTACAAAAAAAAACCACGAGCCTCAACGTTTAATGTCTCTGTTTTTACAAAAAAATGTCTATAATGTTTAATGTCCTTGTTTCTACAAAATAAGTACAACATGGGAGTGATATAGCAAAAAAAAGGATTTCCAATGTCAGTGTATTTACAAAAAAACTCAAAAATGTATGAAATTAAATGTTCCATCCGTAAAGGAGAAAAAGGGCAGGTTCGAAAGCCCGAATAAAAAAGAGTGCTATTAAAAAGGAAAAAAAGACTAGTGCTATTTAGGTAAACCTCTTATGTTTAGGCGATGTTTTGAGTAAATTTCACTTTTTATTTGTGAAAAAAAGGGGGAAAAATACTTCATATGTGAGAAAGTCCACAAATAAAAATGTAGACCTAAAGTCCCCCAAAAAAACCCCATTGGTGTTAGGATATCTTAATTGTGACAAATTAAAACCTTTAAAAAGTCAAGAACATTTGTACTTCACTAATCGATTACAGTATGAGCTATTGTTGTCCAAATTCTGTTACTTTCTAATTTTGTCCAAATATATTAAGAATATAATTTTGTTAGTTTGACTAAATGTATAATTTAGGGTAAAGAAAATATTATTACAAAATATTTTTATGCAAAGGCCCAAAATAGACAAATTTTGATAAATTAAATAAGAATTACAATGCATATTGATGGAGTATATTAGAAATATGCCTAATATACCCGATCAAATTCATCTATATAAATCATAATAAGGTCCAAGATGCCATAGCCCAAACATCTTGTGGCAGGCCTGCATAAAAAGAGCCGGACCACCCAGCCCATAAATGAGGATCAACTCACATGTAAAAGGATGACGACCACGACAACCCAGATGTAAAGCAAGCCCAATAGGACGCAAATCAATGAAACATGCAAGCCCAATGGCACGTGAATCATGTGCACGCAAGCCCAACAGGACACATATCAAAGTGACATACATAGACATCGTTATGGGTCCCGTTGAGCTTGCCTGTCACATTGATAAGTTAGAACCATGTAAGAGCTATCCCACCTTCTCACGGACATCCATGGACACCAATCACACCATTACTATCGAATCTTTGTGAAAATGTTAGTATGAAGAGTGGGATAAGATTTGGGGTGAATTTAGCATTTTTCTTATAACTAGATGTACCCATGATAATAAAGTGCTATGGATTAAGGGAGCTTGAGTTGCCCCAAGTGTAACTCCAACTCTCAAGTCTCACACCACTGTGAAAGTCTGAAAAAAGTGGGTCTCGAGTTTTACCGCAACTATAAGATTGCATCAAAGCAAAAGAAATAATATTCGGACATACATCATTGTGCTACCAACAAGATGCTTTCTATCTCCGCGCTGGCTATGAGACTCTATCACTTGCTCTTTTTGCTTTCTTGGGCATAATCGTTGATTAGTGCTTCAACGTCTTTCCAAAAGATTCCCTCCACAAGAACTCCATCCTTTGTAAACCTGTAAAATTCATGCCGAATTTCTATCTAAAACCCACCATGTAAATGACAGAGAGAACATTTCCCGCCTNGCCTAATGCATATGAGGGACTTAGGAACACAGGATACGAGTACGTGAGTGCATTTGTAAATATTAAAATTTTCAAGGATTTCTTGCAAATCTTGGGTTTTATGCAAAGCTAGTATATAATTATAATTAAATTTGCAGAAATAATTTGATAAGATCTCTTTAATATGTAAATATGCAATATGTTTGCAACACACATGGGTGAGGAGAATAGGAAGGGAGACTGACCATTGTGTAACGCTCTTTGTGATCTCCACAGGAGATTTTGCTGAGATTGACTGGGGATCTGCACTTGCTATTGTCAGTGTGTACATATCTGAGAATCTAGGCAGCTTTGAGGATACCACTAAGCCAGTACTATTGAAAGATCCCTGGAAGAAGAAAAATAAATCAAATCTCTTAAATGTCCATTAACCATGAATTACCAAATTCAATATCTTCCCATTGTGCCTCTAGATTATGGGATAATAATATGAGGCTCAACTGTGTAACTACTTTTACAGAGGTCATAGTTCTTTGGATAGCAAAAAAAAGGATAATGACCTTCTAATCAATAAAGTACAAGGAGCTAGGCAGCCATAAGACTGTAAGGTAGGACACCTAAGCAGGAATAAAAGGCTAGACACCCTCGAGAGCATATCAGGGAATTTTACAATAATATAGTTAAGTAAACAGGTTTCATTGGGGTGATCATATATAAAAAATTGGCATGTAGTGCATTTTTAAAGCAATACTCAAGAATACTTCATAAACATTTTAAAGTGGTTATTTCAGAACTTTGTTGCTTGGGAGGAATGAGTACTGTTAATGAAAACTAGCAAACATCGTACAGGAAAAGTTATATTGTTTCTATTTTCTCACTAGTCCCACATTGTGGGACTGTAACACATAGGGTGTTGTTTTTTTCCCCTTTGTAAAGGAGGAAAAAATAGTTTAAAGTCTTGGTGTCAAATTGATCTCAGCCTACATGTGAACAAGCATGCATCTCACTAGCGAAAATTGGTTTACTTAGAGATCACCAATATGATCCAACCAACAAGATCACTATAGAAGAGTGTCCTGAACATGCTGCTCAGTGCCCACAAAGGTAACGCATTTTGATTGAGGAATTAGGGGAAAGTAAATATAGTTCAGCTATATTACTGGTATAATAAAAGGAGAGAGAGAGAGAGAGAGAGAGAGAGAGAGAGAGAGAGAGAATGAGAAAGTGGGGAGAGACTAGATAGGAGGTTGGGAGAGGGGGAGGGGAATGGGCGAGGAGGTAGGAGGTGGCAGTGGAATGGGGAAGGTAGGGGAGGAGGAGGGGGGATGCTAGAGGAACCGACGAAGAGGTGGATGACAACAGAGGTCACGAACGGGGATAGAAAAGAGGTGGCCCAGTTGATTTGAGACCACATGAGTGTAATGCACCTCTCTGCTATGACTAAAAAAAACTTAAGTTTTGGAGTAAAAAAACTCAAAGTTGTCACTTAATTCATGTACCACAAAAAAACAGATTCAAGATTATAGACTTGAAATTTATGTCTGACTCGAAATCAGGGCACATCCAAACAAGCCCTATGATATTCTAAGACAGGACGAAAAAGTTATACACCAGCATTCTTTGTTATAATGCTTGATAAAATCTCAGATTGTTGTACTATATCAATACATACAAAATACTACTCCGTAGTAGTAAATATCCGGTTGCCTAGACGCTTAAAGCTACACGGGTGCATGCATCCTCACGTGCTTTCCATTTGTGAGATGAGGTATAAGCTTCAAACTGTATGCAAACACTACTAAAGGTCTTAAGCAGATTATCAATCATACACAGAAGATGAATATACATAAGGCACAACTAAAATTTTTAGTCTTCAAAGAGAAGTTCTAAACTTTTTCTTGCATAAAATAAGGACAGGTTGTTCAAATAAGATAAAGGAGATCAAGTGGCAGGGGATACTGATGCTCTGGAGCAAATGAACCAAAGAAAAATAAAGTTTTTAATCTTTGAATCAAAAAGAAAATATGTGGCTCTTGAGGTGTTCGAACCTCGTCTGAATAAAGGGGAGAAGAGTGCTAGCAGCATCGCAAGTATGATGGACAATAAGTTACTAGTTACACAAGCTGTGCCTTTAACATTTAGGATACTTACTAATACAGTAATACAATAACTTAATCAAATAGAACTGATACCACCAACCCAACAAGAAAGAATCATTCGGTAAGCAGAAGAGCAGAACCCAATAATGAGTCAAATAGAACTGATACCAACACTATACTCTTACAGCTAATACTGAAACCAGTTTCTTAACACGCTTAAGGAAACTGATATATATCATTCAGATCTGTTGAATTCATATAGTATGTTAAGGGTTGACACTTTTGATATCGCCCAAGAGTGGTGTTTTTTTAAATGCGGAGTGCTAGTTCTTACACATGTGTGGAATCTTTTAATATACTCTAGGTGTGTCTACGATTCTATGAGCAGATAAATGCGACAAGTCTTTGGAAAAATGTGAGTAAAAAGATACAATAGGCATAAAGTTTTTGTTCTTCAATAGAATCAGATATACGCATCAAAATTAAACAGAAAAAATAGAAATGTGCTACCAATATATAAGGAAGAAAAAAAATAAAAACAAAAATAATACTCATGTCCCATAAAGGTTGCACATCATGAAAAATAGTGGCTCATAGTATTTCTATCTCCTGAGTCCCGAATCTCCTCTGCATCACTTTCTACAACTCAGTAGAATCCCACAAAGTAGGGTGGTCTAGGAGGGTGTATGTACGAAGACCTTACCCCTACTTGAAAGTAGAGACATTGTTTCCAAGAGACCCTTGGCTCAAGCAACAAAGAAGGCACACAAAGCATGAACACAAAGAGCAAACTGAGGACTCTGCATCACTTTTAGTCAAACAATTTTACCTTTGTTAATAACAGTGCCGGTTCAACTGTGGAACCATTTTTGTACGAAGTAGGGAGTAATTGTCTTCAAACTATGGCAAGTCATATAAGCATGTATACAGAAAAGTACTGCAACTTACAACTCGAGGATAAGTGAACAGAATGGCATTCTTTTCCTTGGTGTAAACTATCAGCTGCAGAACCGCATTGGCTATAACATACTTGCCATAGTCAAGATTAAACATATAGAAAGCCCAACCACAGAAGTAATTAAATCGAAACTACTTGTATCATGATTCAGATGAATGATTCTCAAAAGGGTAACCCATTTCCTATCCTATACCATACAGATTACAAGTAAAATTTGTTAAACAATTTTCTCACTGATAAAAAAGACCAAGCACAAACACAGAAAGACAGAAATGGAAGTCAGTTCAGAAAAAAAGTGATCAGAAAAAGGATATAATATTATGCAGCCAATGAGAAAATTCCGATTTTCTGGAAATTTCTTGTTGTAGAACTGAGCGAAGAGGGCGATTGTGATGATAACGACCCCTAGCAACAATCTAACATTGCTCAGCCTCACATCTTCAGTGTAGCCCTTGCTAGTCACGATCTACGACACATAAAAGCAAAAAAGAATCAAAAATTCAGATCACTTTTCCACTGAAATCCATTCCGGCCAATAAACAACAAAGATTCAAAATGAGGAAGAGGGTGAATTCGAATCAAATCGGAATCGAGATTCCAGAGCAATCGAACCTCGGAAACGGTCTCGTCGAGGATGTGCTTGATGGATCCGTGATCTAAGAGGTTCGCTTTTTTGGCACTCTTCTTGCTGGAAGACGATGAATCTGCCTTCTTCTCCTGCATTTTCGTAGGTTTTTTGCCGCAGAAATCGATCTGACCGCCAACACAGAGATGTGCGTGTAACGCAGAGAGAGAGAGAGAGAGAGAGAGACGACTTATCCGACACTATGAAACTTACCCGTCAATTCATTGGGCTGGATCAAAATTTATAATTTGGCTGTATATTTTATAAATTACAGTAATTCTTTGAATCATTTTAAATTGTCACTTTGGATTTATTAAAATTTATAAATAACGAAAAAAAGAAAGTGAATAAAATTTGAAATTGTAAACAATAAGCATGAAACTTCATTTAGGACAGAGGAAGTATCGAACTTTTCATACATTCAATGATTTGGTTGAGAAAATACTAAAAATGTTTCGTTTTAAACTCAATATTATTATCCTAAAATAATCATTTTTTTAAAAATTAAATAATACATTAATTTTAATAAAATATTTTAGGATAATTATAAATCTCTACTTTTAAATTAAACACTTTAAAGGGTAAATACATTATTTATTTCTATAATCTCATTAAAGATTATAGAAATTCAAATAAAGGAAATTTGAAGCCAAGAAATGAAAAAATCGACAAAGAAACGAAATGAAAAAACCGCTAAGAAATTCAAAGCCAAGGGATTCACAACGCACTAACTGTGGATTTGATTGAACATATTTTTATTCGCTCAAATAACCAGTAATATTTTCATATTGTAATGTACTTTTAATATTTTATTTATGTTGTTATTATTAAAATCTTTTTTTATTAATATAATTTTTTTATTTAATGAATTATTGAAGTTTAAATTTAGGGGGATGTATTCCATCCATATTTTTTAAAATTATGTCAGATTTTTTATAACCAATGAAAAATGTATGGATTGTTGTATTTCAACATAGAATTAGATACTCCATAGCTTTTAGTGTATTTCATTATTCGGATTAGTTTAGATTCTAAAAAGTCCATAGATTATAATATTCTTACATTATTCAGATTTCTCTTTTGGAGTAATTCTTTTTTATGCTCACTAATTGAAATATTGAATGCAGCATATATTGAAGATAAATTCATGGTTTCGGTGATTGGAGTGAGCATGCCTCAAAAAAGTTGCGAAGATAGAACCGACTAAAGAAGTGGACTTCAAAAGATGAATGAAGAAAAGGTTCTTCTTGTGGAAGACAAAATCTTTGGTTTTGAGAAGAGATTTGAAAATGGATTTTATTTATACTAACTACGGTAGAATCCAATATGATCTATATATTCAAATGAATTCTATGAAAATGTATTGAATTTTTAATACCGTCCTATCTAGATGGATTTTTAATAGTCTTAATTGAATACATCAAGATTTAGATGTACTTTTGAAAGTCTTGATTGAATACGTCAAGATATTAAATTTCTGAAGAATCTTGATTGAATACATCCCGTTAATTAATTAATAAATTCTTACTATTAATTTATTTTTACAAAATGTGCATTAAAAAAATTAACAAGTTTTAAACCCAAATTTGAAGCTCCAGCACTTTAAACTATGAGGTAAACTGAAGAAAAATTAAAGGTGATGACAACAAAAGAACACATGAAGCCCATGTTAATGTATTTCCATTACCCGTAGACCATGTGCTTTCGGGCATTAGTCGTGTCGTGGTATCGCAGGTCACACCTCTTCAAGGCATGACACCAGCAAAATAGGCAGCGCGACAAAGGCGACCGATGTGGCTTGAAGGCCACCACAGGGGTTACTTGTCTCATTTCAATCGCTGATCAATGCTAACAACAATATTTTGGTCCGTTGGCTATTATTAAAAAAATGTTTTCTTATATGTTCAAGGAGCATTTTTACATGTTCCTAGTTGAACTCTAGTAAACTAGAAAAGTAACCTATCAATCTATTTTCCCAAACAAAACCCAATTTATAGCAGTTGAAAATGACAAATTATAGTATGCACATAAAACTCAAAGTCAAATACCCAAACTTTTAATATGACAAAATCATAATCTCAACAATACTTGAAAAACAAAACTGGGACAGAAACAAAAGACAATCTCGGGCATAACACATAAAGATAATAGAGCCAAAAACAAACACAGTAAGAGCTCAAAGCTTAACCAAAGAGATCAAGACCCATATCCTCATCAGACTCTTCCTCTGGCTCTTCCTTCTTCTCCTCGGCAGCAGGTGCAGGAGCAGAACCCGCATCTGCGGCACCAACAGGAGCAGCAGCAACAGCAAACTTTGAAGGGTCCTGATTTGTTCATTCAAACATTCTTAGCAAAATGCATCATCGAAGATTTCAGATTTATAATGCAAACATCCTATAGGTTTGGGCTGTAACAAGGATGTTTCTTGGGGAAAATGTAACAAAGGATATTGGGCTGATTTTGAAACTTCACCTTAAAAGGAAAGTAAGTGCACAAGTGTGAATGGGCAAATATTTTAGTGAAAATTAAAGTGAATAGGTTTATTTGTAAAATAGGTAGATGTAGGTCTAGATAAGGTATATTAGAATGTTGAGCCAATTTGGTATGAGATGGGTATTGAAATCAAGAAAAAAGTGATGTGAGTTTTGAATCTAAAATGATTTCATCGTTGTTACGCAGGGTACCGGCAATGAAATCTCTGAAGAAATATCAAACACCCCCATTTAGAATGGTCGTGATTTAGTAAGATATCAGATCCAAACCCTGTTTCTGATTTTACAAAACACCCACAAAAGGGTTCTAATATTGCTCCCCTAACAAGCTCTTCTAGTCTTTAAACTAAGTGAAAATGATTATGGGGAGACCTAAGACAGAACAAGACACTAAACAGACTTTTTGACAAAACACATTATGGAGTACACTTTGAGTTTAAGAGAAGATATTAGATTTGTTTGTGGTTGGTTCAAATGAAGAATTTTGGTTTGGTTTTGTGAAAAGGTCAGAAAGTAAAGTTGACTATGAGACGGAGACAACCCAGGGAATCCTAGATACAATACGGAAAAAAATTGCTTCTCTAAAAACAGGATGTGTACTTACCGCAAGGTACTCCTTCACTTTATCAGCCAAGGCAAAAGTGTACTCTGTCTCAACAGCAACAGAAAGAACATTATTGTATGCATTGATGAGGATATGTGGAGCAGCAGCCAGTGTCGGGTAAGAGATGGCCAGTGAGAGTGAAGTCACCATTGACACTCCCAATGCAAACTTTTCAAGCAGATCATCTTCAGTCAAATCAAGGACGCTGGGGGCAAAGACAGAGCCATTATCATAAATAGACACCACCACAAGACCATAGGAAAATGGCCTAATCCCAAGTTTTGCCAAAAGGGCAGCTTCAGATGATTGGACTTTGTCACCCTTCTTGATGAGTTCCACAGGTGTAATAATTTCAACAGTACCCTTGTTAATCTTAGTGGGGATGTTTAGAACTTGGAAGAAAGATGTTTGAGATGGGTCAAGACCAGTGTTCCCTGGTGGGACAACAACATCAACTGGGGCAACAAGACCGACACGAGCAGGAGCTCCAACCTGCAGAATTTTATTTTCTAAATGATTATGATGAACTACATTTCAAACATTGCATATGAGCTCCAAACTACTTTATTTCAAAAGTACATGCACAAGGAAATACAAATCATAGAACAAATTTAGGTGGCATGAAATTCAAAACTAATACAAATGAAGGAAAAATTATGCAATTAAATTAAATATAGTCAAGGAATAATACCTCATCAGATTTGAAAGTGTCATTTGTAAATTGCGTATTAAAACAACAAGTAAAGGACAACTTAGTCTGTCTAAGTATTTAAAAAAAATAGTTTTACAAGCTTCTTCATAAATCACCATACAAGGATTCCCCTTTTACAGCTTTTTCCTTCAAATAGTCTCTACAATTCTCCATTGTTGCTTTTGCTCTAATCACCACACGCACTCAGAAAATAATTAAAATAGAAGATATAACATTATGAAACAATGAGGCACAACCAACAACGTGGGCTTTCACCATTATTAAAAGAGGATGTATAATTCAAGAAATTACCAAACAATCACCAACAATAACTACAGAACAATAACAACAATCTTGCAAACATAAACTAACTTGGCTAAATACGGGAACAAGTAAAAATGGTAATCATATCAAGAAATGTCTCAAGACTTTTCAAACATATTCAAGAGTATAAAAGAAAGAAGGGTGTGATAAACTTACCTTGTATTTTGCAACCTCCTCACTCACTTCTTTCAAATCACCCTTGGTGAAGATCAAACCAACATTTCCCTAGTAATGCAACCAAAAGTTGAAATGTTCAAATCCAGATAAGGAAAACTACAGAAACTACGATATATCAAGTTTTACACACTACTGAAACTCAGTTTTTCTCAGATATATATGCAAAATAAACGCTACCAAAATGCTGGGCCAAACACCATTCGAGACCAAAAAAGTTGGTTCATATAAGACCATGACCATACACAAGTGCCAGCACTTTGACTGAAATCGGTGCCAAACTAACATGAATTCAAACTCTTTACTCTAAAAAAAACATGAAATGGAATTTCAGAGTGGAAGCAGGAAAGGCTCGCAAATATTAAAAAAACATGGAACTGCAAATTGTGATTTGAAATGAGTCTTAGAAATTATAGATTTCTACTAAAAATATAAACTTATGCAATTTGAGTAAAGAATGAGCAGGCATAGATATTACAGAGCGGGATAGGTTGCAGCAGAGCACTTAACGCCGATGGCACTTCCAGCATTTAATTAACGCTATGTAAAATTGAAACTTTTAAAAATGAAAAGGTTTTGGAGCAGCTTAAATGTCATTTTTCGAAAAATTACAAGTTCACCCTTTTAACAACTGAAGGCATTACATGTAAAATAACATCAATTCGATTAAATTCAGCAGCTAAATAGAACGACCACTTACAACCAAGAGAGGAATGAGGTTGAGAATGGCAGAGTTCCCAGTCTTCTCGGCGTGAACACGAATGCTACGCTTGATCATGGTGTTCTTACCCATCAACACGACGGAATCTCCCCTGAGCCCCTTCCTGATGCTCTGGAGCTGGTTGCTGCCGACATTGTCCGCCACTGCGATCAAGATCTGAGTGTATTCATCGAGAAACTGACACAGCTTCTCATCGTAAGCGATCTTCTTCTCGGCCTTGGTATGCTTTGGTGCCATTGGTGCAGATTCTGAGCTCCTGAGTCTCGACTAGATCAACTACGGTATCAAAAATGGAAAATCACAAACCCTAAACCTCTCAACCCCTAAAGCCTAAGTTTTACAAGAAGATGTAGGGCCAAGACAGGCGATTCAAGAACCCTGCCAAGGCGGACAGCGATTCGCCGTCGCTTTAACCTAGGTTTTTAGATGGAAGGAAGGTGAAGAGGAACAAGAAACGGCCGGTAATTGCTGCAACGCGCAGTGGTGGGGAAGAAGACGAAGAGGATTTATATAGTGAAGTGAGAATCGAAGACCTAAAACCCGGTTTCTTTGATGGGCTGGATGCTCATAATTCGGCCTTTCGAAACTAGAACTATGTATGTTTGGTTAGAGATGTTAGTCAAATTAAGCCCAATAAACGGTTGTGGGCCGACCCATCGCAAAATATTATTTTTTGAAGACCTCGTCTGATCTGACTATAGTTTTATTTAAAATTGTTTCTGATCTGATAAGCTGAAAAAATAAGTTGGGGAGAATGTGCTCTTACAATTATGGCTTCCGAAAAAAGAAAATGCTACTGTAAAATCAAAAGGAGAATGATTAAAGTAGAAGTAAAATATTCAAAAAATTTAAAAAGACCTTTGTTTTATATCTTCAAAATATGACACATAATATCAATAATGTATATACTCCATATATAATATCATAAACATTTTGATTCCTGTTTAAAATGTTCGAATTTATTTGTCCCTAAAAAATATACGGAGTACGAGTTATAAAAATATGATATTTCAAAACTACATTTCAGAATATATCATAATGCAATTTTGATCAAATACAGTAATATGAATTTTTTGCATATCAAATTTCAATAACTTTGATCAAGAAAAGTCAGATGAAATAAAAATATTGAATAGAAGAAGATGTAAAAAAAGTTATTAGTACTTTTTCCAATCTTTTTGGGACGAAGAGAGTATGTTTTAACAATAGAACTTGTTTCGGGGCCGCATGGGCTAACTAAGAGCCTAGGGATTTTATTGGTGGTAGGATCCATAAGAAACTTCTTCATTCATTACTTGACTAGTAATTACTTCATCATGTCCAAAAAACACATTATTTCTTTTTCAAGACGTTCCAAAAAAACGTCTCTTTTTTTTATAAAAAAATTGAACAACTCACAATCTTTCTCTCTCGTTGCTTCTCTTTCAAGCATACATTCTAATTTTCTTATTTTTTGTGTCAAATTAAACTATTTAAGAGTCTTTTTTAAGAGGTGATAGTATACTTTACCTATATGAATGAAACTAGTTCAATCATTAGTGTCCGTTTGGTAGCTTCTAGAAGGTTGTGTAAGTTGTCATTTAGAAAAAATCTTTTCTATCAAAGGGGAGGGGAAACCCCATACTAAACGCACAAAATTCATTCTAAAAAGCACTTAGAATATCCTAAACAACAATATCCTTAATCTTGGTGGGGGTTGCTCATTCTCAATCTAAAATGAATGCTGAAAGGCTCTAGTATTTAATAAGCCAGTCAAATTTCGTTTGATCTTTAAAATAATATTCATGCAGTATGCATAAATCTTATTTTCAGAGAACATGTAAAATTAGAGTTAGTACGGTTTTGATCGATCTATACTTATTGTTTCCTTTAATCATAAACAACAACAACAATCCAGTTGTGTCCCACGAGAGTAGGGTCTGGAGAGGGTGTGCGTCAGCCTTCCGACTTTGCCTCTACTCGAAATAGAAAGGCTATTTTCAAAAGACCCCTAGCTCAAACTGCGCATTTTATATTGTTTTCTTTAATCCAGTATTTAAAATTTGAAATGATTGAGCCATAAGCACAACCATTTCAATCAATGACCCAATCAAAACAGGGAAACCACTCTAAGCATCAAACTAAAAAGCATCTTTTGCAGGTGACAAAAAAACAAGCAGCAATCTCATACATTCTACACTGCCTTTTATATGCAGCCAGGCCAAAGAGAAACCAGAGGGGGGCTATTTCAAATTTTCAACATCTATAAGTAAATTAATTACACATACACAAAAAAAGGGCATTGGGGTTTTCACCACAGCTGGGATTTGTATTCATTAATTACTCAGTAATTACTTACGGAGTGTAATACAAAGACTTCCTTCCAGTTACCTCATCCGCCTTATACACAATGACGAATCAGAGGCGCGCCTATAATTGATTCTTTCAGCACAAGAAGTCTGACATCATATGATGTTGCTGCTCATGACATAAATCATATGTTGTCATCGCCGACTTCATTGGCACTCACTTCAGAGCAATCATTGTTGTTGCTAGTTGCATGCGAGGGTGAGTCAGATTTGCTCACTGTCATGCCTCTACCGGTGGGCCTTGTTCTCACACTGTGCACAGACGATGCGGGGATTTTGGCTGCTAATGGTCTAAGATTACTTGGAACGGTTCGCCTTATATCCTGTTTCCAAAATCCAAAATGCGTGAAGAATAAGAACAAATATGGAAAGGTATCTCTCCAAACCTTGGATAACATTTTCCCATGGAAGAGTATACAGTTTATCATTCTATTGAAGAGAAACCAATGATATTGTTCCCTTAAATGCCACTAGTGATGAATAAAAAGAAACATGAAGGCCTTGTTTGGGATTGTTTTTAAATGGCACATATTTAAGCAAGGAATATGAACGTTTTTAAAGGAAAGGACCTTCCTCCCACGCATGGAGAGGACATCATATGAGGCTTCATTTGATGGTGCATCATCTGCGAAGTGTTTTAACTATTAAATTTAGGGGGTGGATCCCATCAATTTGTTTGATCAAATATTCAGATGACATCACATAAGATGTCATCTCCATGGGTAGGAGAAGCTGGAGAACAGTCATTTCCTTAAGTATAGGGATAGAATATAAAAAAATAATGTGCATACCATGTGTCTTATGGCCATATCCAGAGACTTCTTTGATAAATTTCTTCCAAATCCCGAGCTCTCGAGGGATGGAGACTTTGAAGATAAATTACTATTTGGGGATGTTTCATTGTCTTGTCTTGGCGGGGCAAGTTTCCTCATATTGACCACTCTTTCAACCATTTTTGCTCCAACCACAACTGGGCTTACATTGTCATTAGCCTTAGCATGTAAACGGCTCATAGCTAGAATAGGTACTGAGCTTCCACTCCCGTGAACTGTTGTTCTATTGGGAAGGCGTCCCCTTGCGGGAGAACACGATTGTCTTCTAACCTTTCCAGTCCCAACAGGCTCAATAGATGAAAAGCGGGGAACGGGTATCCGGGGTCTACCCCTAGTAGCTGAAGGTGGCCTATCCTGTGGTAGTGATGTCATCAAGTTTGGTGGAGCATCAGCAGAAACCCTACGGATATCTGAAGCCTTTGTCGGTACTGGATTCACATCTGGGGAGCTGGAATTTTTAGTTGGTGTAGTAGAAGGCTTGATGGCTATGGAAGAAGAAGATGGCCGTCGGGTAGGAGTTGCTGCCCTAGGAGTAGGCTTGTAACTACAACAACAAAAATCCAGGAAATCTCACGGGTTGTAAAAGAATCAAAATAGTTTTGATCTGATTCTTGAATCAAATTTGAATGCACACACAACATACTCCTATAGTCCTATTATATACTCCCTCCGTCTCTAAAACAAAGTAGCATATGCCATTTATGAGATCAAACTATATCTCCTTTCTTTATATATTTTCATTGATCATGTGGCAAAATAGTACAGTCACGCCATCTGTTATTTTGAATTCCGTAGAATTTTGATGTAGTTTTCAACTATATATAAATTTTATTTTTTTATATCTACTGTCTACACCAATTTTAAAGCTTCAATCAATCGTAGTAAAATGTAATTTTGGAACGGAAGAAATAGGAGTATATACGGAGATTATAGGTATATATACTCCCTCCGTCCCCCAAAAAAAAAGCTCTTGGTTTGACTTGGCACAAAGTTTAAGAAAAGTGAAAATGTGTTGTTGAAAGTGATGCAGAGGAGAGAGAACGATTGTGAGCCACTCAAACTTTTCCAAAATAGGAAAAAAGAGACCTTTTTTGGGACGTCCCAAAAAAAGGAGTCTTTTTTTTTGGAACGGATAGAGTATAATTATAAGCACCTTAATCCAACTATACAACAAGCAACAACAACAACAAATCCAGTAAAATCCCATAAAAGTACCGAATACAATATATTCTAGTGCCAACTCAAGGTATAACGACTTATTAACACTAAATTCAAATCAAAGTGTACTCTAATAAAATATACTGAGCATTTTGAATATAAACTTTCAAACCAAAGTGATTATTAGGTGCATAAGTGCATATGGATATTATTAATAAGACATGAGCATCATAAAAAAAACAATCAAATGCATGGATATTTTGATTTCATTCAATTTATTTACACCCTTACCTGGAAATGGGCTTTGATCCAGGGATGGGCTGCCTAGTTGGTGTTGAAGATCTTGGAGCAACTGTGGTCTTAGTAGACGAGGCTACTGGACCATGAGTAGGTGTTGAAGACCTGGTTGGCCTTGTTGAAGTTGATGTTTTAGACATTGTGGTGTTCAATTCTGGTTTAGTTGGATTGTTCAGTGTGGATCGGTTAGTAGGTGTTGATGGTCTCGAGCTACTAGATGAAGAGGGTCTTCTAATACTGGGTGTTGAAGTTGTTAACTCTGGAGATGAGGATTGCGGCTTTCTGGATGTCAAGTTGCTTCTAACTGTGGCTTCAAGCGGATTTGCAGGCTGTAACCATTTAATCAATTGTATGCAAATTCAATAAATTGATATTTGCTTTTAATGGGATTATAGGGAATCATTCACAAATTAAAGCACTGAACTGTCTAATACTCCGTAATAAATTAATAATTAGTATTATTATTATCATAGTAGTAGTAGTGGTAGTAGTGATATTAATATTTTTACTGATAGACTAACAATGATATAAAGACACACAAAAGGTAGGCTGCATAATGACCAAAAAACACAAATATGCGCAAAAGTGCACTTCTATCCAAACTTAAATATTGTCAATATAACCATGCAAATATGGCTACGTTGAGAATTTTTAAAGCTTTAGACAGAATTACAAATATATGCAAAGGTTGTGGTTGTTTGGCTTTAAAAATAGTGGCATGGCTGCAAAATTAGACTAATAATGTACTTGTATAAGAAAAGGGTGCAACAAGAACTGAGAAAATATTAAAAACTTCTCACTCCGGATTTCAGAGCAGTCGGACGAGGTTTCAAGGATCCCAACTGACTCATCACTGTCTTCTGGGACTCCATCTCTAATGAAGGAAAAAGAGGAGTGCCAGGTGGTGTTAGGAGCCTGAAACGTCATATGAACTGCCTTAGAGTAGTTTAATGATATGGCATGTAAAGTACAAAACTTGAATAAAAGAGTGCGTAGTTACGAGTGTGTTTGGAATTATTCTCATAGAATAAATGCATTTTTTAAAAAATAACAAGCTCTTAATTTTCAAAATATGCTTCGCGTGCTTCTTCAAGACCAAATTAGAGCATTTAAAAAAAACATATTTAATGCTCAAATGAGATTACTAGATAGGTAGTTGTTAGTACTCAAATAAGAAGGCATTTCTTACAAAAGACTCTGTTTCAGTTATCTTGACATATTTAAGGTTGTTACATTTTGTAAATAAATAGAATTGTTCTGTCACCTACATCAGAAATCCAAATATTCCATACATAGTTTCTCATATTATTGTTTGGAACAAAACTGCTTAAAAGATATACATGACAATGAGAATAGAAACGAAGATATCAGGCAAGGATGGCTTGATTTTGACATCTCAACCCACAAAAGAGCATGATGTTGGAAATCAACCTACCCATACAATGCAAGGATTAAGTGTAAGGCACAAAAAACAGCCACGGCCAAGCACATTCTAGGCAAAAACTCAGATACATTAACCAATTACCAATACCATTCATAGTCATTTTTGTCATTCTCGGAATATAGAAAATCATCAGCAACCGTCGTTGGGGCAGGCATGCAAGCCCTACCACCACCATTAAGAATGGAAGAACTTCCATCCTTAGAGCCTGGAGTAAAATGAAATTGAAATAAAAATACTCAAACGTCTAATTGCAGAGCAGAAAACACACCAAAATGCTGGAAATTACACATTTATTAATGTCGACCAACAAGAAACGTATGTTAATTAGATATTATGACCAAAAACAAAAGATTTCTTTCCAAACGAAACATATATGAAGAGTTAAAAAAAGTAAGAAGCAAACAAGCATCAAATGAACAACCGAATCCCAACATAACGTCTAAATATCAAATAAAACACAGGAATGGAAGTGCGAAATATTTCCATACCAAGAAGGGCATCAAACTCATCTGATTTCTCAAGCAGAAGAAGCTCACCGTCTCCCACCTTCTCCCGCCTCCTCATTTCATTGAACAATGCCAGCTCCTCCTCCTTATCCATCATCACCGCGCTCCTAAGACTCCCCACCGTCACGTCCCAAAACCCTAAACCCTCAAAACCTCGTCTTCCTTCCCAAAACCCACAGACCATCCGCCGCCGTCTCCCTTCCCGGATTCAAAATCACCACCCGCAAATCGAAACTCCGGCTCCAGATTCTCCAGAATCCGAGCTCGAATCGACGCACCTCACCGCACTCGACAATTCAGAGTGGAAAACAGAAAAGGCATAAACGCAAAATTCAACAGATTCCAGCGCGCAGATTCGTGAACACCTAGAGAGAATAAACAACAATAACAATACACAAAACGCACTATGAGCTTCAGAGAATCGCCGCCATTGTTGAGTTACAGTTGTGTGGAGAAGGAAGGAATGATAGATTTGAAGAAGACGGAGAAATATTTTTCTTTAGCGTTCAGATTACGTTATGAAAATGAGGGACAGGAGTTTGGGCGGGACAGGGGGGGCGTTATTGTAAAACTTTGCCATTTTGGGGGCTTAGGTGGGCAATAAAAGTATTGTGGGGTCCAAATGTTAAATGGCACTACGAGTCTGCAACAGCTTTTGTGTATATTTTTTTTACGGAGTATTTTTTTCTGTTCTTCCCTTTACGGTCACGTTATACGGATTGTTATCGCTCCCTTTGTTCCCTAATAATTACGAAATAACCCACCCCCTTTTTCCCCTTTTATAGAATATGATCAAAAAAAATCATTAAGACTTTGCTTGATACACAAAATTTAAATTATGAAATTGAAATTGGAAATGGTAATTCAAATTCTACTGTTTGATAGTATAAAAATATATGATTTTTGATTTGATAATGCCAAAAATGAATAGGAATCGAAGATTTCAATTCCTTCAAAATCAATTTTATAGAATTTCAACTCTTAATTCAATTCCAATTTTATAAATTCTGTGTATCAAACAGACCCTAAAATTTTTTTCCTATCAAAGTCTTGAATTCGAATCACATTACCAACAAAGAAAGTTACTTTCACTTGCTTAAGCATTTGTGGGTGGTTTAAGAAAAGAGATTGAGAGAAACATTCTATTTTTATCGGCATCAGTACTAATTCCAGGTAAATGTAATTGGGGTATGGACAAACGAGTAAGTGGTACACTAATCCTATGTAGTAGACTGAGTAGTATTAAAAGTTATCCTCCAAAATTTTAAACAGGGGTAGCTCAGCTGGTCGAGATGGTAGTGTCATTGTAGTTAATTAGAGTTTGAATCCTGTCAAAAATTGAATATACCAGGAACATAGCTAACTCTCTCCCAACCATACTTAGATTTGGCTCAATTTAATTCATCTTGTCTAGTGTGTTAACTAGTACTCAGCAAAACCTTCTGGATTTGGATATAAATTTTCTAGATATGAAAGAGCGGCACGACAATTATATCAATCTTGTCTATTGTTTAATCCCAAGATCTTACTTTTAATTTAGATATCACAAGGAAATAGTTTTTTGAAGGAAAAAGGAAATAGTTTGATACTTCATCCATTTACAATAAAGGGGCCATTGTTTTTTTTGAAATGTAATCTTTATCAAATGGTTAAATAAAAACTCGTTCAATTTTTTATGGGAAATTCTTATGTTACTTTGAATTCATATTCATTTGATAAACCTTAGCATATAAACGTCATGAAAAGATTAGACTTTTTACATAAAAGAAAATAGAGTAAATTCTATAATTGGTCCTTTATAACAGGAGGGTTTCCCTATTTAGTCCTCTATTATCAAATATTACCCCAGTTGTCCTTCTTTTATGGGTACCTTTCCACAAATAGTCCTTTTTTGATCTTCTATCATGTTGGTGTTAATTTGAGGGCTGAAAGTGTAATTTCACAATGACAATATATCTTTTTTGTCATACACAATTCCAAAGGCTATTCCGTTTGCGTCGTTTGTGAATTACAGTCGCTTTTTACGACAATGATAGTCTACAAATGTGATCTTTTGTCAGAATTCTAGCCCACAATCATGGTCATTATTTTTGTGTTATCCGCTTAACAAATATCAGAACACGTCACTAGACATAATGTTGATGTCAAATTATACTTTTAGCTTTTAAATTAACACCAACACGGCAGAAGATCAAAAAAGGACCATTTGTGGAAAGGTACCCTTAAAAAAAGGACTACGTGAGTAATATTTGATAATAAAGGACTAAATATGGAAACCCCTCTGTTATAAAGGACCAATTATGGAATTTACTCAAGAAAATATTTCATACCAACTCGTGAAACTATGAGAATGTCCACATTTTACATGTAAACATTAAGATCACATGTAATGACAACTTAATTGAGGATGGAGAGGCAATTGTTGGTTAAATATTTTTATACAATCACCCAAATATAAAGGCTATTATGGATAACTATGGAAAACATATTCTCGGCGTCTCTAAATAAAATTTCACTTTTTATTCATGTCCATTCAAAATAAAGTTTAGACCTCCTTTCTTTTCGTAAAAAAAAAACAAATATGCGACTCGCAACCTTTTTCTTTCCTAATAACAAATTTTATCCATACACTACCAAACCCGATGACTGTTATTACTGGAAGAAGTTGGTTCAAACAAGGTGCCTGTTTATGGGAATGAATATGACCAGCTGCTACACTGTCAAGGAGGGATATAATTGGCTTGTAGGCAGCAACCCAAAAGTGGAGTGGTTTGATATGGTTTGGAACAAATGGTCTATACCTAAACACTGCTTCATAACTTGGCTTATATGGAGAGGTAGATTACTCACCAAGGATCGTTTAAGCAGATTCATCAATCTGGATACTACTTGTGGTCTTTGCAACAATGGAGTGGAATCAGTCGATCATCTCTTCTGCTCCTGTGCTTTGGCTCTTGGAGGACATTTCTCAATGGATACATGTTGATATCACAGTTGGGTCGATTAGAGAACTGGGAAGTAGAGTGGGGAAAGGAAAGAACAGAAAGAGTCGAAGAACTATAGCTACTTGTATTGCTGCGAGTTGCTACTTCATCTGGAAAGCTAGGAATGGCAAACTTCACAATAATAGGTAAGCTGCCAAGGAGCACATTGTACAAGGAATTAAAGTTGCAGTTACCATGGCAATAGGGCACAAAGTTAACATCAATTCTGTTGCCTTATAATTTGTCTTTTGGATATTGCTTGATTAGGTAGTTTGGAGTTGAAATTTAGAGGGGACCTGATTTGTAATGTTTGGTTGGTATTAATATAATGTGCTTTTGTTCAAAAAAAAAAAATTATCCATACACTTTATTTTACAACAATGTTTTTAAACATGGTGAAGTAGGGACTTATTAGACAGAGAATATTTGAGGAATGAGTTTGAGTAAACAATTATTGACAAACAAATTTGACAAAGTGAATCTCAAATACTGAAACACGCACTATAAGTTACTTGGAGTACACCAATTTTCACACTAACTTTCTTTTACACATTCACAGACACAAAACAATGTTGAATATTTGTTATGTATGTAAGAAAAGTAGTGTTAAAAACGGTGTACAAATAGCTTTTTTCCATACCGTAATTGCCCAACAAACTAGCAAAAAGTCTAAGCTATCGTAACAACACTTTCAACACCAAGTTTGACATCGTCTCACAAAGGCGCACAAATAATCATATCTGTGCGTGTTTGTTAGACATCATATCAGTGTCAAGCTTTGTGTCATGAGTGGTGTCAAAAGTTTGAGCTACTCACCCGCCAAAAGCGTGTCTGTTACCCACCACTTTAGGTCTTCGACTTTGAGCTATGCCCCGGGGGGAACACTTTTAACAACTTTATAGAACAAAGCTCACGACATGTGCATAGATTGCACAGTTTCCATACAAGATGCTTCTTGGCAAGTGCTAAAGGGCAATCAAATTACTTGCAAATACTTATTCAAGAATCCTAGAAGTTATATGGAAAGCTCGCGAGATAAAGAGAGATTGTATGTACAAGTTTTGGGGCCGGATATGGAATGGGATCTGAAAGGCGAAAGATCACTCATCATCAGCATCACTTCCCCTGGGTTGTGCTTCCTGACTGATCCAATAGTTGCTTTCATCCGGCCCGGAAATCTTATACCTATTCAATTCAAATTGAAGAAATCAAATTGCTAAACTCTATCAGCATTCGATGTTTATAATTTATATATATATCCTCATTACCCATGAATAAGAAATATCGGTTCCTTTCATATTGGTTATTATTTCTTACATTGAATCTCCCAACTCGAGACTTAGGGCCGGTTTAGTGAGCGTGATGAGATATGAGTTCTAGTATATCCCAAAATCGTAATTCTTTTTTGGGTATTTCGTGAAACCTAAAATAATTCGGATGTGATATCTTCAGACATCACAAACCTCCAAAATGAGGGGGTTGCGGTTTCTCCCAAATTTGGTATAGTGAAACTCATTCTGCGCTTGCACAGAGGTACGAAGTGACTTGACCAAAAGGAGAAGAGGTACAAAATGAGTTGAACAATTCGATAATAATCTTGACTTGTTGAAGAGATTTTGGTAGCTCCTTTAGCTCACTGGCCACCGGCCGGCCATCCCCACCCGTCCCTACCAAAAATCATTTAAAATCTCTCTAAAGACTATCATTTTATATTTTAGAACTCATATCAAATCTTCTAGCTTTCAGACTCCATATCATATCAACACTGATACTTCAATGTATCCCACCTTTTTTAGTGCAATATACATTCGATAAGACTAGAAACTTAAGACTCGTAAAAAATAAGATGGGGAGAACAGGCCGTGTGTGTGTGTTTCAACTGACCTCTCAAGGACGAATTTCCCTTCTTTGTACTTCTGACCTTTTTCATGTGCAACTTCCTGCAAGTAGCTATGGTGATGAGACGAGTAACTCGAGTCATCAATGTATAATAGGAAAAAAAACTTGAGACTATAGCTCTGTTCGTTTCTAGAGAAATATTATCTGGTTTCCAATGGCACTTTGAACTGTTGTGAAAGATGACTTCTTATTTTGTCATTTTCTAAAACCAAATTCATGTTTTCTATTGAGTGGGTTAAACATTAAACTATACATACAACAATTTATTTCCTAGAAAACATTTTTCATATAAAGTAATTTTCCTACAGTACATTGTTTCATTGTAAGAAAATAAATTGTTGTGGAGAATGATCGGGCTGTACTATGAAAAATAACTTTCTTTGTTTCAAAAGAGTGGTCATTTTCTACAAAAGAGCCTCCAAACATATGAGAATCAATAAAATGATTTCCCGAGAAGAAAAATAAAAAACACAGAGAGAGATGCGGATTTTTCCATGTCTGAACTCACATATTTCCAGCCCACGTTTGACCCACAACCGACACAGAAAATGTCTGCAACGGTATGCAATCCAGTCGTCATCGTTCTATC